CAGATTTTATTTTGTCGTTTTAAAGGCTGTACGATGAAGATGGTAAGAAATAAAGGCATACTTTATTTTGTTTTATCTCAGCTGCAATAGCCCCTCTACTCTCAGCTTGCAAACAGAACTGTCGGCTAATGATCAACCCCTAAAGTTTCAAACTCTTCTTAATAAATTAAGAGTTAGAGTCCTAAATATAATTGAAATATTGGTTACATTCGACAGATAAAAAAACTAAGCCTATAAAGCAATGTAGGAGGAGCATAGGAGGTCCAGCATAACTATGCTGGTTTTGATTTACAAGGCATAATGTGGCAGTTTACCATGATTCAGCCAAAGTAATGAAATAACGAACTGTAGTCTGATTTTTATTATTACTGTGTTTCTTCCTATTAAGCAGTGACAGTAAATAAAAGGTGTTACCTGTCTTTTGCTTTAAGTATTTACTTACTGGAGTTTTTATTGTTTGTGCTGTAGAGCCACATCAACAGCTAGCTCCTCACTTCAGCGGCTCCAATGGAGCCTGTGCCATTCAGCGCTGCTGTTGCTCCTCCTACACGTTGGACTGAACTAACCCTAACCCTTCTTCTAACAATGGTGTGGGTGGGGGGGGAACCTAAAAAATTATTTATTTTTTTCCTAGATGAATTTACTTAGTTCTTTGTTTCTATTTCCTTTTTATATTGATATTGTTTAAATGCAATGGTTTCTTTCATGATTTCTTTGGACTTTTCCAAGATTGAGGGTGGTCCGCATGTCTGGTTTCTGATGCCAGGTGACGCCTGGTTCTTCTTCGGACCTGTAGCACAGATTCCGACTCCTTGTTCCCCTTTCACTTTGTCTGGCTGGCTCCAATAGCCTGCTACGGTGCGGCAATTACTTTACAGCTTCGTGGAACCAAAATGCAGCCGGATCAGTGGATCTTCCAAACGAGGCAGTTTTCTACCTAAATGCAGCGGCTAAAATCCTGTATTTTAGGCTACTGGTTCCTGTTCATTGTAGGCTTGCGCTCAATTAAGATTCATACTGCCGATTTTCACTTTGACTTATAATAAAGTAATTTATTATAAGTCAAATAAAATGACTTATCATTTATTTGACTATAAGTCAAATAGATGACTTATAATCAAATGGCAAGACATATGGAAAATGTCTTGCCATTTTCCACAGATCCATATGAATCCAGCATAAATCAAAACAGTTGAAAACTGTTTGCCTCTTCCCATTAACAACACCTGAACTGAATCACGCTTGACCTTAAATAACCCCACCCGCTTCAGACACACTCAGAACTCAAAATTAAATACGCCCTGTGGTGGCCATAAACACGGGAAAGGATAAAAGGCTCTTACAGCTTTCCTCCAGCTGTCCTTGCTACATATGCAGTATTCCTCTCACTGCACATTTTCATGAAATCTCAGAAAAATCACAATCGGGCTTTAAAAAATAGCTCTGCTCTCTCTTCTTTTGTCTCAGAAAAACAACTGTTAGGTCGCATAGTAACAAGCACATGGCGCCTGGAGGTGGGGGCTCTGTACCCTCACCGCCAGGAGGCGTCAGCCTGCTACAGATTAAGCCGGGTCTGTGGAAATGCGTTCACTCCGAAGTAGAGTGGAGTCAGGTCGGGTCGAGTAGAGCGGAGCTGCTGAAGTAGAGCCCGTGGAAAAGGGGCAAAAGTATGAAGAGAGGGCATTGGGAGCTGTGAGAGCATTTCAATTTAGGATAAAACCAAAGTGAAAAATAATTTTATGCCACTAGGTGAATACCTTGTTTGCTAATGAAATGTTTTATTTTTGGAACAATTTTTTTTGCTTAACTAAATGTGCTTTATTATTTCTTAGGCTTCACTTAATATACCCAGACAGTTTTGTTTGTTCCAATGATCACAAATTAAATCCATAAGTTTCCTCATCTTAGTGAGATGCTGGTACATTCCTGTTTATTCCAGGAATGCATAACAGGATTGTACCAACAGGAATTGTAAACTAAGTACGTGTTTTTTTAAATCATCTCTGACTTATAGATGGCCGTTTTAACCAGTTTTTCTGGTGTCCAGTCCAGCAAATCCCAGTCCAGTCCGTTTGGTATCGGTTCTGGCCACAACTACCAGACTGACCCTGCCTCCTACAGTCCACTGTCATCCCCGGCAACATCCTCGCCCAGTGGAAATGCTTACTCAGGCCTGACAAACCGCAGCACAGCCTTTGGTAAGCTTTGCTCTCCGATCACCATGTCAGTGGAGCTTACTGCTGTTTTTGGCACATCTGACAATGTAAATGTAATCCGACTAAATAAGGTTAGAAGCAAGGTAATAGACAATGTAACACAAGAATACTAAACATCTGGTATGTTTCAGTATAGAAACATGTCCTTCAGGGTAAAGTGGTGGTGCAGGGGTAAAACACAACTTACGTAAGGAGAACTTAGTCCTTGACGCGGCCGTCACAGGTTCAAGTCCTGGCCTGGTGGCCTTGCCAGGCTGGGCATGCCTTCCTTCTCTCTCATTACCCATTTTCCTGTCTGCCCCCTCAATAAAACCTTTTAAAAAATAAACTTATCCTTTGGTTTTATACTTGAAAGTCTTCCATTTAAAAAAGATTAAGCTCTAACCAACGATTGATTTCCTTTTTACATTTATCACCATATGTGATAAATTAGTGTCACATCAAAGCAAAATAAAAATCTACTGGCAACTGTATCTGCTAAATGGGGAGTATAGTTAATGGTAAAATGAAAGGTGGATAGAAAGGGATTTGGGGGCATGGTGTTCAGGGCACATTTCTCTGTAAACTGTAGAATGGGAATTGGAGAGGAGGGGAAACATGTTTTTATGTTCCTAGTAAGTCTAACACTTAGTGTCTTAGAGACTGCTTGCATTGTTTCATTACTTTAACAAATCACAGCTTTTTCTAAAAAACTGTATCTGAACTAACTGCTTAAATTCTTTAATGATTTAATAAGACATTTATTAAAGTAACTCATTAAACTTATGGCATTTTTATGGCATTCAAAGCAAAGTCTATAAAGTAAGAGGATTTATTTTTCTTGTTTGCTTTGACATCCACATACCATCGTACTGAAATATTAAGATACAAATTATTAATGACTAACAGTAGCTCTTTATCTAACTGTATCACAGTTAAAAAGTTTTTTGAAGACTGGAACCATGTGTGTCTAGATACAGTTGGGAAAAAATTATCTTTTTTTCTCTTTCTGAAGTAAAATCAGATCAATCTTCTCTTGTTTCAGCTCAGTTAGAATTACCACAATTATTTCTTATTTGTCATAGATTTATTTACTAATAAATAAAACTCAGAGTCAGAAGTTTGCATCCATTTCCTCTGTAGCAATGCCTTTTGGCTTCCTTCCCTAAAGGAATTTCTTTATTAATGCTCTGTGAAATTAATAAATAAATATCTGACATAGTCTTTGTCTGAGAATCAGAAAGGAAGATGCTAAAGAATTTCTAAATACTAAGTAGAATATTACAAAAATAAGTTGTGATCCAATAAATCTGTTGATGTTTCCAGATGTGTCAGGAGAAGGTGGTCAAAGTGGAGGCCAGTTCCAGGGTCGCCCCAGTGAGGTCTGGTCCCAGTGGCAGAACCAGCATCATTCCCAGCAGTCAGGGGAGCAGCACTCACACGCCAACCCCAGCCAGACAGAGGTCTTCCAGGTACAACCCAAAGCGCTCAGCATTTGACCCCTGTTTGCAGACATGTGACCTGTGACCCCATATCTCTGTAGGACATGCTGCCTATGGCTGGAGATCCCACCCAGGGGACAGCAAACTACAACATTGAGGATTTTGCGGATCTCGGCATGTTTCCACCCTTCTCTGAGTAAAGGTCGCCTCTACGACATACCAATGGACTTATGTTTGCTTCTTATGTTTCATCTATTTTTTTTTTATAAGAGCAGCACTCGACCACCTAGAAAAATTAATGTCATAGTAATTCATTACTCTTATCTCCATAAGACATTCATTACTGTCATCTCATAGCAAAATAATGCTCCATCCAGACCAGAAGGCCTGAAGAATGAACTGGTGGATACCCTCACACCCTAGGGATTCTGCTTAATGGAGAGTCTTAGTTAGTCGAACCTTTCTCAGCTTGTGATTGAACGTTGATTTTCAGGTCACTGCGTGTGTCCTCTATGGTCAGCATTCTGAACTTCTAACTAGAGCAGTCGCATCTGTCAGAGCTCATCACCATCATTAAGACTGGATGAAGGAGAACTTACTTTTAGTTTTCTTAAAGAACAAGAGGAATATGGAAAACTGTGTATTACCTTAAATGTTCAACTCGTCCTACATGCTATGATTTTTACTTTCAAACTGTTCATCTAATCTAAAACATCAAGTTTTTTTTTATATTGCAATTGAGATCTAATAACCAAATAATTAGAATGTTTTTGGGTATTAGATCCTGTTCATGTTCATTTAATGTATCTATAATAAAACTTCTTCAATTTAGATTGTCTTAGTTCAGTAAAAATCTTAAAAGGTAACAACAGATTATTTGAAGCAAAAATAAGAATAATGGGTAACACTTTATTTGAAGGGGGGTGAATAAGACTGACATGACACTTTCATAAACATGACATAACACCTGTCATGAACATGAATAAGCCTTCATGAATATTTATGACTGTTGTCATAAAGCGTCATTCGGTAAATTATGACACTTTTAATACAAAGTTGGCATTATCCAAAATGTCTTTGTTATGACAACTTGACATTAACCAAGAAATCATTACTGTTTAAACTTTACCTTTAATAACATAAAGATACCTAATTTGTAAAGTGCAATCAGTAATTCTTTTATAGCAAATTTATATCAGTAATGATTTCTTGGTTAATGTCAATATTCATGAAGGCTTATTCATGTTTATGACAGGTTTTTATGACAGTGTCATGTCAGTCTTATTCAACCCCCTTCAAATAAAGTGTTACCGAATAATGCTGCAATTCTTTCGTTCTCTGTTGAACTCCAAACTTCTACCTCCACCAAGGAACCCGCAGAACATTTTTTCAGTTATGGTCAGTGTAAAGCTTTCTTCAGCTATTTAATTTTTGAATTAAATAAAGTTCACCTGAAGGAAGTCGTATCTTTATAGGCGAAGGCGCAGAACAGATCTGCGATTTTTGTCAGTTGTAATTGACAAATAGCAGGTTGCGTAGCCTTCCATAAAAAACAAACAGTCACCAAAAGGAATTTGGTTCACTATGTAAATATTTTATAAAATGTTGAAATGTTACATTAGAATTCCTTTTATATATCTTCACTTCAATTAAACGTCTGACAAGTAGCAGATCTCATGAGAAATGGATAACTGGGCAAGACGTTTTGCCATTTTCTTTATAATGACAACATTGTGGGTCTTATGTATAGTTTTCAACGTCAAAAATAAATCTTTCCGCATCCATTTTGAAATACTGTACCACAATACAACAATACAATACAACAATAAAGGAACAATAAAGGAACTAGCAATGCAGTGCAGAAGAAAAGCAGCAACATAAAGTAGTTTTTGCCTTTATGTTTTACTGATTAGAGGTGGAACAGCTTTGAACAGATCGCTGCCTGGACCGTGGACAAGTCACAATCTCTCTGGGTTGGTTTAGGGACAATAATGAGCATATGTTTTGATGCACGTCAGACGCCTCAGCTGTTTGTTGCGTTATAATAAAGGCTTTAAAATTAAATTAAAATCAGCCAGGACAATAAATCAGCAGGTAAAACTTTAAAGACCACTGGATCTTGGGCTGGTAAATCCCGACTGGTGCAGACTGACCAGTCAATCTGCAGATTGACTGTTTAGGTGTCAAACTATAATCAGTAATAAATTATAATCTTTATTGTCATGTAATGAAATTACATGGACTATGGTTGATAAATAGATAAATAGCACTAGATGGCATTTAATGCTTTTATGGCTACTGGGTATAAACCATTCTTCAGTCTGTTTGTCCTTGCTCTGCAGTTGGAACAAACCTTGTCATCCTCTAATTCATCTCAAAGTGTTCTTCTCCTTTCACCTGGGATGAGTGACTGTACTGTGCAAAGTCCAGTCACAATTATTTTGTATGTCCATACCTAAAGCCCTTTGGGTTGGAAAATGAAAAAAAAAAAAAGACTTGTGTTAGGATCACTGACTGCAGAGAGCAGCAGGAGAAGACAATCCGTTTCTGTCTCCCTGTAAACCTATGTATAGTGATGTCCTGATTTTTAGAAAACACTTCATGCAACTATAGCAGGATTAAATGCATTTTAAAATGAAGAAATTTTAGTATACCATTGCTGAGTTACTGCTTAAAGTGCACTTCATGACGCTAACTGTTCATTACACCAGCCTGCTGCTTAGCAGTGTGCAGTATGTCTGTTTTCAGCTTTCACTGCTTGACTTTAATTCATTGTTATATATTCATCAAACAAAAGGCTGAATAACAGCTTGCAGTGAAGTAATGTTTACATGATGAACTGCATGTCCTTGACAAATGGAATAAACTTTAGACATCTTTTGCTAAGGATCTAAAATTATTATTTTTTCAATATTGTGATTTTTATGTCAACTCATCTAACATTCACAGAGTACATTTTTGTGTAAGTCTTAATGATATTGTGTATAATGTGAGTGTGTATTTAGTACGTGTTGGTTAGCTAGTAAACTGTACATTGACTTCTAGACCTGTTTAGACTGTGTAAATGTGACCCATTATTTTGTGCAAAACTGTGCTTGTGACAATAAATTCTTGATTTGGTGGCTTCCATTAAAGGTTTATTTCATCGTTTATATATATATAGATATATATATAAAAACACAAAGACCTAACTTGTGGCAATTCTAGTTGTACAAACAGATACTATTAGGTCAACTTTTCCACAGCATATTACAATGGAGTTATTTAGTGGTCCAACTAAGATTGTATCTCAAAAACATCTGAATCTAAACACCTGTGTGTGTGTGTGTGTGTGCGTGCAAGCGAGCACGCATTTGTTTGTAATACCTTGTGGGGACCATTAATAATTCCCACCTGCAAATACACATGTGGACAAAATTGTTGGTACCCCTTGGTTAATGAAAGAAAAAAACCACAATGGTCACAGAAGTAACTTGAATCTGACAAAGGTAATAATGAATAAAATTTATATGAAAATGAACAAATGAAAGTCAGACATTGCTTTTCAAACATGCTTCAACAAATTATGCTAAAAAAATAAACTCATGAAACAGGCCTGAACAAAAATGATGGCATCCCTGAAAAAAAGGGACATGTTAAATCAAGGTGTGTCCACTAATTAGCATCACAGGTGTCTACATTCTTGTAATCTTTCAAGGAGCTCCATGTAGTCATTGTGCCGTTTGTGTACCACACTTAACATGGACCAGAGGAAGTGAAGGAAAGAGTTGTCTCAGGACAATAGAAACAAAATTATAGACAAGCATGTTAAAGCTAAAGGTTATAAGACCATCTCAAAGCAGCTTGATGTTCTTGCAACAACAGTTGCACATATTATTCAGACATTTAAGACGCATGTGACTGTTAGCCAACCTCCCTGGACGTAGCTGCAGAAATAAAATTGATGAGATGGATAATACAAACGATAACAAATGAGCCCAGAAAAACTTCTAAAGAGATTAAAGGTGAACTTGAAGCTCAAGGAACATCAGTGTCAGATCGCACCACCTGTCTTTTGAGCCAAAGTGGACTTAATGAGAGACGACCACTACTGAAAACAATTAATGAAAAAGCCAGAATAGTTTTCCAAATTACATGACAGGCCACAAAGTTTCTAGGAATATGTCCTATGGACAGATGAGACAAAAATTTAACTTCTTGGCAAGACACATCAGCTTGGATGGAAAAATGAAGCATATCAAGAAACGAACACTGTCCCTACCTCTTAAATCTGTACAGGGTATAATGAAATCTCAAGACTATCAAGAGATTCTAGAAAGAAATGTCCTACCCAGTGTCAGAAAGCTTTGTCTCAATCGTAGGTCATGTGTCTTGCAACAGGATAATTACCTCAAACACACAGCTAAAACTGGTGGAAGTAACAATCTTTTCAGTATGTCAATGTTCTTCTTAGGCCTTCTAATGAGTCATCATTTGATCTAGGTGAGTTAAACCATGGAGAGAATTNANACNTGCAGGATGCCGGCCCTCCAGCATTGACTTTGGGCACCACTGGTATTTTAAAGAGGCCTTCTATGAGCCCTGACCTCTAGAGCGCAGGGGTGCCGAACCCTAGTCCTCAAGGGCCGGTGTCCTGCAACCTTTAGATGTGCCTCTGCTGCACTACACCTGAATAGAATAATTAGGTTATTAGTTGAGGTGGCTCGGGCATCTGGTCAGGATGCCTCCTGGACGCCTCCCTGGTGAGGTGTTCCGGGCACGTCCCACCGGGAGGAGGCCCCGAGGAAGACCCAGGACACGCTGGAGGGACTATGTCTCTCGGCTGGCCTGGGAACGCCTTGGGGTTCCCCCGGAGGAGCTGGAAGAAGTGGCTGGGGAGAGGGAAGTCTGGGCCTCCTTATTTAGGCTGCTGCCCCAGCGACCCGATCCCGGATAAGCGGAAGAAGATGGATGGATGGATGGATGGGTTATTAGCANGGCTTTGGAGAACTGTTACAACCCGGCTCGGCCAGGGGAAAGGGAAGTAACATTAAAAAAACCTAGATGTTAAGGTTTAACAATTTAGGGGTTTATTGTTTGGGTTTTGACAAAAATAAAAGGTAAAAATTAACAATAGTCAAAAATTTAAGGACTTACAACAAAATGTGCTAAATAAAACAAAATTTTGACTTTCCAGCGACACATCTTAAACATTTCTGGGTCTGGTTGCAGTGGAGTTTGGTAAGAA